CCAGTCCCTTAAATTATTCAACCATGACACTCCCCTTCTTCCTATACTTTCTCCTCTTATCTCTCTCTGTATTATCAGCCTTAGCAGTTCATATCGCTGTCCCCCTCATTACGTGTCCCAGATATTGGGAGAATTTTCTTATTTTTATTGTGTTTATTATTTCGCATTCTTTGCCCATTTCCCGCAATACTTCCGTGCTAGTTTTCTTCTCTGTCCATGCTATTCTAAGCATCCTCCTGTATCACTACATTTCAAAGCACTGTAACTTATTTATGTGTTCTTAATTCAATGTCCAGCTTTCAAGTCCATATTGCAGTATCGAAAACACGTAGCATCTCAGTGCTCTTACTCTCAGTTCTAATCTAAGATCTTTGTTGCAGAGAATTGTTTTCATTTTTACAAACGCATTTCTTCCTATTTCTATCCTGGCTCTTATTTCGGTTGTTTGATCATTATTGTCTGAAATCCATGTTCCTATAAGCCTATATTATAGGCATTTGTATTTATCAACCCTTTCTATCGGTACATTTCCCAAATATATGTTTGTTGGTATATTTGTTTTCTTTGTTATTATCATGTATTTGGTCTTTTTATATTCATTTTTAGTACATAAATGTTATTAGTGTCAAAATGTCATAATTTAGTGGAGTAAACTTGCCTGCGGTTGGACCAATTAAAAACAAGCATTACGGTGCGATAAATTTGAATTACTCCTGTTTAAAAAACAAACCATAGTAGTAATATCCTTAAAATTTGACAATGTATGTGCCTGTTAAAGTATTATGTTGGAATACGACTTTAAATCTAACGGGAATATCATAATGAGCGAAGGTATTTGATAATCTCGTTGCACCCCACCGTATCTTTTCGAGCATTACGAGGCCCAGTATAATAGTACAATAATAAAAAAAGTGAACTTTAAACTGATAAATATTTTTTGTTACTATATACAATAGTATTAAGTATTTTTGCTAATCATTTTTGTTTGTTAAGCGTCTGTAGACTTTGGACCTGATACCATAACAGGTACTATACATTAGCGATAATATAACAATGACAAAAAATATTCCAATTACTGAGTATTTACTATTTTATGAACGCAGATAAGGTGCATTACTATGTGGTGTCTGTAAATATTGTCCAGCATGATGTGTCAACATGACTATCATGTATTGAATTGAGTCTGCAAGTGTATTGTCTTTTTGAGACTGATTTTGTTTACTTTTCCGTATGTCAAGTTAACTTTTTCTCTTCCAAAAGAATGTAGTAACAATCGCCATATCCAGTGCTAGTTCTAGTTTCAACATATCTCCATCAGTATTTCTAGTTCCAATATATCTCCATCTTTATCTTCTAAAGTCTCCATACCATTACTTCAAAAATCTCGGAATGTTTATCGTTATGCTTTTCTCAGGTTTTTACAGATGAGCCTAACGATACCATTCCTCAAATAATGTGCCCACGTTTGACTAAATCTCTTGACAATTTTATCTTTCACATCGGATGAAATTAAACATCATTTAAGTAAACTACAAAATAATTCATCACCTGGATTAGACGGACTCACCTCTTTTTTCCTCATACAATGTGCAGGTGCAGTTACATAAACATAAACGTAAACATAAGCAAAACAAAAATAATGCTAATATCTAAATCGCCACAAAACTTCCCTGACATAACCGTGCATGATCAAAGAATCGAACGTGTAAGAAGATATAATTACCTGGGAACTGTTATCAACGAAAATAATGACTGCTCTGAAGAAATCAGAACCAGAATAGAGAAAGCTAGAGCCACATTTACTAAATTGAAAAAGGTGTTCAGCGGAAGAGATCTAAGTCTAAAACTTAAAATTCGCCTTTTGAGATGTTACGTTATGTCAGTTCTCCTCTACGGGATGGAAACATGGACATTGAAAAAGATCGATACCAAAAAGATAAAAGCATTTGAGTTGTGGATGTATCGTAGAATATTAAAAATACCCTGGACAGAGAAAGTAACAAATGTGGAGGTTTTGAGGGACATGTTATGAGGGGAGATAAATACCAGTTGCTGCAATTGATTATACAGGGAAAGATAATGGGAAAGAGATCTATAGGAAGAAGAAGGCATTCATGGTTGAAAAACTTGAGAGAATGGTACAATTGCACCAATTACCAACTATTTAGATCTGCAGCATCAAAAATACGCATAGCTTTGATGATAGCCAAACTTCGGAACGAAGACGGCACTTGAAGAAGAATGTGCAGAATCTGTAGCCATCCCTATATCTTTCGTAATGAAAGCTTCTTTTAATCAAGGTTCTCTCCCCTCGTCCTGGATATTGGCTTCGGTTACTTCTATATTCCAAAAAGGAAATAAACTTGCATTATTCAAATCATGAATGTGTTGCTTATGTGAGTCCATTTCAAATAGACAAAAAAGAAATAAATAAGACTTACTCACAATCAGTTTAATTTAACTACCTAGACGACCGATTTCGCTTTCTACAATTTGCAAAGCATCTTCAGGTCTGTCGATACAAAGGTAATTAAATACTGAAATAATAAAACCTATATTAGGGTGCTGTCTTATAAAGATAAACATAAAGATAAAATAATATAAATTACAGTAATTAGGCCACTATTACATGTATGTGGTTTTTTTAATATGAATAAACTGCTTAAGCAAAGCAGACAAAAAAAGACCCGGTACACGATTTATTAATGGTTGGGAGAACATAGTTTAAACTATCCTGTTATAGCTGATGATGGGATCTTCAGTTTTTACTATTGTAACAATTTGATTGTTTGACAATCAACGGGGAAGTTTCTTGAGGAGATAGATTTTATCCAATGAAGTAGAAATAGGTGTAATGTGATTGTTTGTTAAATGAAATTGATGTTCTCTATTATTTAATTCATTAAAAGTTATTTATATTTATTCAAGAGATATATTTTCGAAATGTGTGTTATTTATTGAAATTTTTTTATTAAGGTGACAGTTGTATGACAATGAATGAAATTAGATGTACAATTGTGTGGGTGTGCAATTCCTTTAACTTGTAAATTAAAGTGTTTTAAAAACAAAAGTATGACATCTAATAGTGTTTTTGAATTTAAAATTTTTTGCCAATGTACCTTCCAAAAGATACTAATCTCTTCATTTTTCTTTGCTTGAAAAACGAATCGGACTGTAGTTCGCACAGCTCTAATTGGTATTCTGCTGATTGGTTCTGAATGTTGACTCCCATGGATTTGTTAAAAAGCTAAAGATCGGGTTTTATTGCATCAAATTCCGAAAACCTTTTGCAAACCTCAAGAAATCGACCATGGCTTCTTGATTTATTTCGAAACGCGCAGGAAAATGTGTGAGGTCGTTTATTTTTATGCAGTTCTCGAAAAGATCAAGTTTTTTGCGAAATGTCTCAATTTGACCAACCAACTGTGATACTGTCTTATTTTTCCCCTGGAGTTGTAGGTTTAATGTGTTCAAGTGAGAGGTAATGTCTGTTAGAAATGCCAGTTCATGAAAAAATCATAAGTTTTGTTCGTAAGCTTTGTTATAAATACGTCCGTGTTAATAACAATTTCCGTTTCAAAAAACAGTAAGATCTCTTTTCTTAAAGAAAAAATTTTTCCAAGGCATATACCTGCACTCAACCAGTGTATCTCTGAATGTAGGGAGACGTCCTCCCTATTTCAGTATTTAATTCCTCCAAGAAAGAGATGAATTTTTTCGGTGTCGCTAAGTTCTGTTTCCTCATCTTAAGCTGTTTACTATCTGCACTGAAGTTTTCATAGTATCGTTGATTTTAATTATCTTTCCACCTTTTGATAGATAATGCAATGAAACATAACACAGGTAACATCATTTTCCGCAAAAGTCCAGCCAATCTTGTTATGCGTCCCGTCATTGCTTTTGCTCCGTCGGTGCAAACGCAAGAGCACTTTTGAAAACCGCTTATATTTTTCACATCGCCACTAACTGCTTCAAATATATTTATACCTTTGGTCCCGTCTTCCATGTGGTGCAGTTTTAGAAGTTCCTCAGTTACACAAAAATCTTCACTGATCCATCTAACAAAAATTAAGAGCTGATTTTTGTCAGTAATCAACAGATTCGTCCAGGGCAAAGGAGTAGTACAAACAATCACGAACTGCGTCGACCATTTTTTTAAATACATGAGTATTTAGCTCATCTAGATACAGTTTGATGGGAAACTGAAACACAATCAAAATTTTTGGCCATCTTTTCATCTCCAAACTATTGCGCCATTTTAATTTCTAAATGCTTTTTTACTTTTGACAAGCCCTAAACATGCTTCATGTGATGCTGCTAAGCTTGATGATTGAACAGCTGTCGGTTTTGTAAATAGAGATTTTTGTTTATTCAATTTAGCTTCTTTTACAAGAGTATTTCGAGCTGCACCTTGATATTTGTCGTATTTTGTTTTGTGCTGGGTTTCATAATGCCTACTAATATTGTATTCTTTTGATACCGCGAGTACTTGACAACAAATAATGCACTGAGTTTGTGAGGTTTGCCTTTTATTCGATGAAGAAATATTGATTTTCCCATCTTCCTTGGAACGTACGATTCTCTTCGAAAATTTTGCGTTTTTTGGCACTACTCATTCTGAATTTAACATTCAATTTATTCGCCACTGTTAATTCAACACGACACGTGCAACTGACTGAAGCTAGCTAACTGCCCGCTCATCGGGAGTGGGTGTTCAAGGTTAACTACTTTCTTAAGATTACGGAAAGTTTAGACAGCGTTGTGACAGGTAAAAGTTATCAATGGCAATATTTTTTAAATGTGTTTGCGGGAGCCGCAGAGACTCGGGCCGTATGTGGCCCGCGTGCCTGAGGTGGGACCTGGTTGGAGATGATTTTTATTATATTGGAGAAGGTCTTTACATTATTATAGCCTGAAAAGATTTCCGGACGTTTGATACCTGAATGCCGTTTCTATCAGCATCATGTCGTGTTATTAACATTATATTTAATTTGTTTCAGGAACTTCAGATGAATACGAAGAAATCAAAGTACCCGTTCCCTGGGGACACATAACCGGTAAGATTAATTGATAATTGGCAATTGTTAATAATTGATGAAAAGATAAAAACACGTTATGAATATAGCTTAAATCTTTGTATTTTTTTAATTAACAAAATCGCATCAGCCAAATTGGCTATTTACTAAACAATAGTAGCGAACAATAATTTGTATTACAATTAAATTTTATGTTTAGATAGCGTTAAGAATGTTAATTAAAGTTAAGAAACTTTTAAGGTAAAGTTTCTACGATGTCAGTTGGACAAGTCATAAAAACAAAATTCGACACTCAAGTGTCGGCGTCTTTGTAAAACATAGGCGGCGCAATAGAAATTAAATAATAAACTTTTATTTTTAAATTAAGGTCTAATATTTTGTTAAACAGTAATAATATTGTTAATTATTTACATTTCCTTATGAACTTGACACCAAAGATGATTAAAAGTTAATACACAATATAGTCCATTCACTAACGGTAAAATATTGTAAAAACCTCTAAATTTTAAAGAACCGCTTGACTGGGATTGATATGAAATTTGTCATACACATATAGCTAACGTGTCAAAGAAAAAAAGTGATATTGTGTCGATGTGTATTTTTGCCCTGGGGGTGAGTACCGCACCTTCTTGGGGGGTGAAAAGATATACATCAAAAATAAGTCCGGAAGTGGATAAACTGACTAATTCTAGGTAACTTTTGTTCTATAGAGGTTTTTACTAAATCAATACTTTTCGAGTTATTTGCGAGTGAATATATTCATTTTTCATTAAAAACACCACGTTTTTGGACGATTTCTCGCAAATAACTCAAAAGGTAAGTATTTTATGGAAAAAATGTTGGTAGCAAAAATACAGTTTATAAAAAAGTGAAAACAATGGTATATGTATGAAGTCTGTATACCCAGCAGAAGCAGAGTTATAGCTAATGAAAAATAGATTCTTACCTATTCGTCAAATTCCATATCGAATAATTCAACGTGAAATAATCAAAAAAAAAAATGTTTTTTTACTTTTTTTTAATTGTTTAGAGGAATCTTTATTTTTGATTTTTAAAAAAGTTTCTAGCATCAAACGTAAGCAAGTTATGCTCAAAACAAAGTTGATCCCTTTTTTTGGTAAAAAATAATCATGAATATGATCTGTAAGTTTCATCGGTTTAAAGAGCTTATTTTTGAAAGATACTTACATGAAATCGGCCAATTCGTCTTACAGTCGAATTGTGTCTTAGGTTATAGATTAATCGAGAGATCACATTTACTTCGATATACAGAACATATTTTTGACAAGTTGTGGAAGTCTTTGTAGAAATATTCAAACAATTAAACACTATCACTATCCGTGTGTCCAGAACTTGAGTCGTCGTTTGTGTTTATACCTACCGGTTCAATTGGTGGTAAAGTAGGATATTCTTTTTCTTTTACTTGAACATGCGCTACACAATTTTTCCAAATGTCAGTTTTGTTAAGTTCTTCGATCACTGTTCTTATATTTTGGACAACAACGTCACTTAATTGGGGAGATTGATTCATTTTCCGCAATTTCTTTTTTACATTGGCCCATATCATTTCAATTGGGTTGAAAACACAATGATATGGAGGGAGCCGTAAAACCGTATACCCGTGGCGTTCAAAGAGTTTATCTATTACATATTCTTTTTGAAAATTTTGTTGCTTAATTAATTGCAACAATTCCTTTTTGGTACATTTACTAGGTGTTGCCATGCATTTGTTCTCCATAAATTCTATGATATCTTCCTTCTTGGAGCTAGTATTTGGAATTTTGGTGTAGAGTCTAGAATGGTATGACGCATTATCCATTACTATCACGGAATTTGTTTTAATATTCGGTAACAGCTGTTCCGTTCCCAATTTTTCGAAAAGTTCAGCCGTCATATCCTCATGATAATCAGCTGATGACACTGTTTAATGTTTTTGGCCGATAATAACAAGGCATTAGGTACAAACCCGCTCTTAGTTCCAGCATGTAGAATTATAATTCTTTTTCCTCTCGGACAAGGAGTATTCAAGCAGCAATTTTTGCTATCATCCATCCAGCCATATTGAACTACATCATGGGTGTCAAACCACGTTTCATCAAGATACACAATGTCTCTATTGTCATCTCGGTATTCTTTAATGTATTTACAACTTATTTTCTACTGTCTTAACTCAAACTTAACTAAAACACAACACTACTGTTTGCACAAAAATATTAAAAATATACGTGAACTTGCTGTCGTACACGACGATACTGAATATATCGTTTAGTATGAGAAACCTGAGAAGGCATTTTTGACCAGATAACGATCAAGTTTGAGCGTAATAACTTCCGAAGAATTTGACTAATTACACTTCAGTAGTGCCCGATAAGATACGTAGAAAGTAATAAACCACAGCTGCAATATGGACAATACCGTTAGTGATCAATTACAAATAATGTTTATATTTCTGAATTATTGGGGACTGGACCCTAAAAATTCCTTAACTTTTATTGAAATTTAAAATTGATGATTAAAAGTATATACATACATAATGCAAATGAAATGTAATGTGCTTATTAATTTGAGAACTAAAAAATGAGTTTACAATTTTACTATAAAAATAAAATAATTTATATAATAAGTTTAAAATAAAACAAAATTAATTTATCACGACGACACTGTTATTGTGTTTATTTAAATGCTTGCCGCCTTTGAAACATGAGAAGCAATTTTTACCTGCTAACGGCAAAGCCAGATTTGGTTATAGTGTATGCGCTTCCGAAAAATTTGACCAATTACATTTCAGTATTACCCAATAAGATACGTTCAAATTAATAAGCCACACCACTATCCATGTGGACTAATACCAGGAGTAATCAATAATTAGAATTACAAAGATTTATCTTTATTTCTATGTTCGCCGTAGAATTACTGACCGGACCCCAAAAATTGTTCTTTCCCAATTCATATCGTAACAACTTTATGACATATTACACTGTAGACCTAAAATATCACTTGGTTTGTTAGGTAAATTATACAACATGCGCTTTAGCGTTAATGCTGGACATTTCTGTAATATAATATGTTGGATTGTTAACTTTTCTTCACATATGTTGTCCAAAAAGGGAGTACATATGTGTGAAATTATTAATATAATTTCCGTGTATGTGGACTGTATTATATAGGGCTGGTTCAATAAAATTAGGATATGTAATAAAAGGTATACAGACAATAGCAAATTAAGTATATAGAAAGTCTTACCAATATTTTTTCTGCTCCACACTCTCACGGTTGTTTCCGGTCTTCACTCGTGATTATTCTTTACCCGCGAAATCTGTCCAATGCACCGGTTTCTGAACACGTGTTTGGCAAATATATCACGATATAGAGCACACTCTGTCTGCACACGATTTAATACAGTATTTTCGATATTTCTCGCGTAACTAAAGCGGGAAAGAGGTAATTACGATAGAAAAACAGCCAAGAAAGATGCTGTTCTTCTTGATAAGCGAAGAGAGAGAGAATTAAAGAGAGAGAGTCTGGCTCTAGCGATGGCCAAACTAAGAGAGTTCTGTCCTTATCGACAGCTGGTAATCAAGAGAGTGTGTTTCTTCTTTGCTATCTTGAAACTGTCTGTATTTCTTTAAGAGAGGGGGTTGAACTGTAAGTAGGAAGGGTTATTAAGGGTTGGACTAGGATAATGATTGTAAAATTGTAATATAAGGATAGTTAATAATACAGCGAAAAAATGACATGGTTTTTCGCATGTGAGAAAATTAAACATATGTCACGGCTTGGTTCTTGTTTTTTGGAAAATACATGGCTATTAGTTAATCTCGTATGACCCAGTCGGAGTCGCGTTAATATTACCTGGTCTCTAAGACTTGTTAGTAATGTGGACCAAGGTTGTATCGATTTTTTACTATCGCATAGCTTGGCTGATAACGATGACAGTTTCCACTTTTCTTCCCACGTATATCCGTTTCAGTACACTCCGCACTATCACTAGTTGCAGCTTCTTTTGAGATGAGATGCTATACTGAAGAATTTAATATTTTTTCCATTCAGCTGAGCGGTATGAACTTCTTGTTTTATCTTGATGACCAAAGGATTAGTTGGGTATTGGATTGGCTGTAGGCAACTTAGAGAGTCTGTGAGTATACTTTTAGTATTATTGGATGCGTTAACAGCAAAGCTGGCCTGGTATAGAGCGTATAGTTCAGCAGAGTAAATGGAGTACTCTGAAGGGAGTTTGTATTTGTTTGTCGATGTTGAAGCTTATGATTGCTGCATCAGTACCTTCATTTGATTTAGATGCGTCTGTATGTAATATGTGTATAATCCTTGTAGTTGTGAAGCATATCATTGAAGGCGAATTTGATTAACTGTGGGTTTGTTGAATGTTTGTCGAAAGAAATGACGCGGGTTATGCACTGAGGGTTCTTGATTTGCCATGGAGGAATTAAGGGAGAGAAAGCATTCTGTGAACGTCTAGTTTAATTGATCTAAGTAGCTTCTAATCCTTGCATAGAAGGGTTTGGCCGTTCTTGGCTCATTTATGAAGAGATTTGGGAACGTTTCTATAAAACAGTTTTGAATAGTAGGGTTTTTTGAGTTAAACCTGATTTTTGCGGCGCGGCGTATGCTACATTTAAATAAAGTCTTCTTCTATCTTACCAACTTCACAATAAATACGTTCGATTGGTGTTGTGCGAAAAGCTCCAGATTTCATATGTAAAGAGAGATTGTGAAGACTGTCAAGATTTCTTAGCAGTGTCTTAGTGGCTGTAGATACACAGTAGATCCATAATCTAATTTTGATCTGATTAATTTTCCGTATAACATCATAAGTGATTGGACATCCGCACCCCATTCTTTATTGGTCAGTTTTTAGAAGATTTAATCGCTTATGACAAGATAATATAAAATTTGTTATATAAAGTTTCTCAGCTTAGAGTTTCTTCTAATGTCATGCCCAAGAACTTTATTGACGTTACACGTTTTAGATTCTCATCACATAGTATTAGGTTGGGGGTGTT